CACCGCCCCGCCGGCCGCCGCCTTATAGCCGTGGGAGGGGCCAATCACGGGGCCGCCCCGCTCGGGGGCGGGGGTCGCCACAATGGCCAATGGGAAGGCGGCCGCCGCGTCCCGGCCAATAGCTACGCGTCCACAGTCCCAGGCTTCCAGGTTGAAAGTGGTCCCGGGAGCTAGTGGGCCGCCCCTAAAGCTCCCGATCACCTCTGGGTGCGCTGGGCAAATGCTCCGGTGCTTGCTGTGCATTGGGCGTCCGGACTCCTAGTCCTCCTAGTCCTCAGCCTAGACCCCTTAGGAGATTGCGAGCAGGTCCCGTCCCCTTTCTGGGCTTCAGTCTCCTCATTCGGAAAGTGGGTCCAGATAAACCAGTTTGGGTATTCTCGCTCTCAAATGCTAATCTCGTAGCCCTGCAACTTCCATGTGCGTAAGAATTGGAGAAGTGGAGCTTTTGGCGTTACGGGTGCCCGGATTCCCCGCATTCTGACTCAGCAGATCTGGACCAAGGCCCAGGAATCTGCATTTGGTACAAGCAGGTGGTGGTGTCCATGGGGAACACTTGAAGAAAAGCTGTAGTCTTTCTAAATAATGATTACTCGAGATTCCCTCCTTGTTGACAAACCTTAAAAAATAAAGCCAAACAAAAACAAAACACATAAACATCAGTGCGCCATTCATTCATTTATTCATTGAACGAATATTTGTTGAGTTCCTGCTATGTGCCAGGACTGCTTTTAGGTCTGAGGATACAGATGTGAGCAAAAAAAACTCTCAGCCTTTATGGAAATCTTTATAAAGTTCTACTACGTACCAGACACCATGCTGGGTTCTTTATTGTGCCCCCACTGAGGTCATCGGGAATAGCCAGTCCTGCTTCACAGACAAGGGAGCTCTCACTTTCTGCCTTACAAGTGGTAACTGGGGCATGATAGAAAGGGTGTCTAGCTTCACTGCGGTTCTTATCCCCCACCCCAGCAGAATAAAATGCAAATTTAACTCACTCCTCACAATCCCACTCCCTGCTTCTGAACCCCACCCCAGCCCAAGCTGTTCCTTCAGCTTGGAATCCCACCACACATTTTGTCTCTCTATCTCTCTCTCACACACACACACACACAATATTCTCCCAATGCCCAAGTGTTCCTTCCTTCAAAGGAATCTTAGATTGTTCAGCCTGACCACAACTCCTCCTCCTTAGAGCCCCTGGGAGGAGTTACTGAGCTGATGAGAGCTGATGAGGTCCCTGTGTTGCTCAAGCTTGCTACCTGGCTCCACTCCAGGAGCTGACCAAGTCATCATCCATTTGGTCTCACAAATAACCTTCTCATCAACTCAAATGGCAGTTGGAGTCCAGAGAGGGCACTGGAAGTGGAGACGAATGGCTTCTAGGTGCATTTTGCCTCTATCTCCCTTTCTGTCCTGTTTTCTCCAAGATGCCTCTCAGCTCTGTGGTGTTGGCTTCCCCGGCTTCCCTGACCCAGGAGGTGGGAGGGCCTGAGGAGTTTCCTTTAGCTGTTGGGAGAGCAGCCCCTTAAATCTTCAGCCCCCAGTGTCTGCGGGCGAGTCTGTTCCCACACCTGGCTTCCTCCCCCTCCCCCCACTTGAACATGACCTGGGCCAGGCTGGGCTTTGGGGAGGAGGAGAGGGAGGCTGAGCGGCCCCCTCCCCGCAGGACCAGTCTCACACGCAGCACCGGCCAGGCTGCTGCTTCCTGACCTGATGAATTATTACCAGGAGATTTCCTTCCCTGTCTGCGCCTCCTCACAGGGGCTCCTGGCTCCCTTCACTTTCGCTTTCTTCCCCTTTTCGCCCCTCCTCTGCCCTGACCCCCCAGTCCCCTTGAAATTCCTCTGTTCAGTCCGTTCCTCATTCTAGTTTGACCTTGAGATGCCAAATGGGGCTTGAACCTGTCCGGAAGGTGGGGAGGCGGCTTGCTCTGTAGGCTCATTCATTCATTCCCTCCTCGGCAGGTTTGACTCATGGGACTCTGGGAGTAAGATAAAACCATGAATGAGACGCCTTCTGCAGCCCAGGGGAAGGCATATTGTAAACAAAGAATTCCAGGACAATGTGGTCACAGCAAGCCAGGGTCTGGCATCAGACAGACCTGATTCCGGCCCAAGGTTAGCTGCCTCTGGGGGGTCTCAGTTTCCTCCTCTGAAAACTGGGGATGACAATAGTATGGACTCCTAAGGCTGGTGGTGGTTCTATGAGTTTTATGCCAATAAAGCAAGGGCCTGGCTTGCAGGAGGGAGTTTGCGCTACTGGTGTTAGGAGCTGTCCCGAATCTTGGTGCAGCCAAGTACCTGAGGAAGGACTGAGCAGCAGTGACTCTGTGCTAGGCCTGGTGCTGTGACAGGGAGGGGCTGTTGTCATGTTCTTAGCCACCCTCACAAAGGGGCCTCAGCTCCCAGCCTCCCTCCCTCCACCCCAGCCACACTGGCCTCCCACTGTAACTTGAGCCCACCTCTGCCTGGCACGCTCTGTCCCCAGATATCCTCATAGCTTCTTCCCTCATTTCCTTCAGTTCTTTATTCATATCTCTTCTCCTCAGGGAAGCCTTCCCTAACTACCCAGACTCAAACAGCAGCTGCCCCCTCACCTGTTACCACCCCCATAAACTCCCTGTCTCCCCCTTATTGTTGATATTAGTCATCATCACGTGGATTCTGACTCATGGCGATCCCATGTGTGCAGTGTAGAGCTGCTCCATGGAGTTTTCAAGGCCGTGACCTTTCAGAAGCAGATGGCCAGGCCTTTCTTCTGAGGTGCCTCTGGGTAGGTTCAAACTGCCAAACTTTGGGCTATTAGTCAGGTACTAAACTGTGGGTACCACCTAGCTACCTTCCTCTTCCCCTTACTCTGCTTTATTTCTTTTTGTAGCATTTATCACTGCTGTTCATTCATTCATTCTACAAACATTAATTGAGCACCTACTATGTGCAGGCATAATTCTGGGTTCTGGGGATATAGTAGCGAACATGTAAGATGTATCATCTACCCCTTCTCTCCCACCATTAGAATATAAGCTCCAGGTGGCAGGCACTTTGCATATTTTCCTCATCTCACTTCATCCACCTTACAACCTTCTGAGGTAGGTATTATTATCATTCCTATTCTACCAGATGAAGAAACTGAGGTTCAGAGGGGAAAGGGACTTGCCTGAAGTCACATAGTGGGCTGGTGAGGGAGCTCAGGTTCAGTCTGATTCTGAAGTCCCTGCTCCTTCTCCACCATAAGGCCTCTCAGGCAGCCCAGAGGCATTGGGAGGGATGGGTAGGTGTCCACCAGGCAAATAGGAGGAGGCAAGGTCTCACAGGCTGAGGGAACAGCAGTAACCCCTGGCTCCCTGTCCACAGGCATCTTGGACTTCAGTCCCACTGAAGCACTTGCAGTTCCTCAAAGGTACCAGTGTTGCACATCTTGGAGCTATTCCACAGCTGTAATCTGTGTCTTGTGCCTATCCCTTTGGGGTTGGTCAGACAACCCTACTCCTCCGCCGAGGTCCAGTGTAGCTTCTCCGTAAAGTGGCTCCACTGCTCCTTCCCTACTTTGTCGCAAATTTTTTGTAGCACCAACACACTGTAACTTAACTTACCCCCTGCTTCATCTCTGATCCCCTCTCCCATTCCTCTCCCTCCACAAGGCACCCACTCTAATATTTTTGATGTGTGTCTTTGGATATATATGTTTCTTTGTGACATAGATGGTGCTATTTGTATGAGGAGATTATTAACTTACACAAATGGCCTTTGCTATAGATCTCTTGTTTCTTAAGTTTTTTTGTTTGGTTTACTAGGTGCTGTGCTCTTTGTGCTGGATCTAACCAGAGCTCATTGCTTCTAACTATCGCTTAGTATGCAAGGCTGCATGTCTCTACCATATCTAATTTTTCCGTTCCCTTAGTGATGGACACTGTGGCTGCCTCCAGCTCCTACCTCTCCAAGCAAAACTGCTATGAACTTCCTGTTCATGACTCTTAATGGATTCCTGCATGTGGTTCACTGGGATACACACTGTTAGGCGTTGAACTGTGTCTCCCAAAATATGTGTTGTAAATGCTAACCTCTATGCCTGTGGTTATAATGTCATTTGGGAACGGGTTTTCTTTGCTATGTTATGGAAACAGGATTAGTATCTTGGGTGTCTCTTGAGTCAATCTCTTACAAAATCTCTAAGGAGCAGATTAGGCAAGCAGAGATGGGGAAAAATAGACACCATGCCACATGAAGGTCATCATGGAGCCAAGGAACAAGGATCTTCCCAGGGTGGACACAGAGAGAAGGCCTTCTAGAGCTGGCACCCTGAATTCAGACGTGTAGCCCCTAGACTGTGACACCACCACTCGTCTGTCAGCTTGTCGTACTGTGGTGGCTTGCGTGTTGCTGTGAGGCTGGAAGCTATGCCACCAGTGTTTTGAATACCAGCAGGGTCACCCATGGTGGACAAGTTTTAGTGGCGTTTCCAGACTAAGACAGACTGGGAAGAAGGAGAAAAGCCATACTTTTTTTGGCCACTGAAAACCTTATGAATAGCAGTGAAACACTGTCTGATATAGTGACAGAAGATGAGACCCTCAGGGTGGAAGGGACTGTGGAAGGCATGGTGGCGGCAACAATGGGCTTAAGCAGAGCAAGGATTATGAAGGTGGTACAGGCAGTGTCGCGTTCTGTTGTGCATGGGGTCACTATAAGTCAGAATCGAATTGATGGCACCTACCAACAACAACAAGCTGTGAGAAAACAAATTTCTGTTTGTTAAAGCCACCAACTTGTGGTATTTCTGTTATAGCAGCCCTAGAGATCTAAGGCACACACCCAGGGGCAGGATTGTTGGGGGAGAGAGAATATACATTGTCCTAGTTTCCTAGTGCTGCTATAATAGAAATACCACAAGCAGAGGGTTTTAACAAAGAGATTTGTTCTCTCACAGTTTAGGAGGCTAGAAGTTCAAATTCAGGGCGCTGGCTCAAGGGGAAGGTGTTCTCTCTCTCTCCAGGCTCTGGAGAAAGATTCTTGCCTCCTTTCAGCATTAGTGGGCCCAGCATTCCTTGTTGTTGTTTTTGTTATGTGCCATCAAGTCGGACCCAACTCATAGTGACCACTCCTTGGGTTTCCGAGGCAGTATCACTATGTTAGTAGATTGCCCAACCTTCCTTCCGAGGAGTGGCTGGTGGGTTTGAACCTCCAGCCTTCTGTTTAGCAGTCAAGTGCCTTAGCCACTATGCTACCAGAGCTCCCTTAGAGATC